CCGCGGTGCTGTGCCCCCTGCTCTGGGTGACCCTGCTTGGGCAGGGGGTTGGGCTGGGTGACCCACAGAGGGCCCTGCCAACACCTGCCATCGGCTTTTCCTGTCCACTGCAGGAGCCTTTTCCTGCATCAAACCAACCCAAAATGAGAGCAGCAGGTTGTGGCTCCTTGGGTGTGGAGCTGGGTGGTTGTGGTGCCCGTTCTTAAACCGGAATGACTGGGCTTCATCTGACCATCTCTACTGGTCTGCATCTCCCCTGGCCTCGGGGGGGCCTGCAAATCGTTGGCAGCCGCCTTGGCAATTCCTTCTTGAAAAAGCAAACCAGGCTTCCGCGATGTGCCCGAGCGCGGCCGTCTTCTGCCTTTGAAGCTTTGGTTTTGCTGTTCACGGGGCTGAAGATCGTGGTAACCCCCGGGCTGGCTGTGAGACGCAGCGCTGCGGCTGCCTCCCCCCTTGAGACACCATAAACCCAGGGACGGCTCCTTCTTTTGGGAGGGCGGGAGATTTCCTGCTCCAGAGGAGAATTACGAGGGAGGGGAAACCCTCTCAGAGGTGTCCCTGCAGTCATTTTAGGACTGAAAGCCCACCCTCAGAGTGACTCTTGATTCTTTAGTCGGCAGCAAGGCCCCTTCCCATCTGTGTGGGATGGATGCTGGGTGTTTTCCTCATCTCTGGTGCCTTAAAACAGCTCCCGTGATCTCCCATGGGCCCCTTTGAAAGAAGGTTCCTGAAATGAAGTGCAGGGAAATCCCTAAGGAGGAAATAACTTGTTAAAAGGGAATAAAGAATATGCTGGAACTTTTTTTTTTAAAATATATTTTCATTTTTCTCTATGACTTCTTTTCCTCCAGTGTGCTACATGTAGAAATACAGAAATTATTTTTGTTCTGGAGACACTGAAACAGATTTATTTATTGGAAGAGATGCTGTAGTGTGGAACAGTTCCGTGTTGTAAATGAAACAGAGCAGGGGAAAAAAATCCACCTAGTGAATCTGTGTTACCTATCACTTTGTATCTTTGTGTCTTTGGGTTTTTTTTATAAATTATTTATTTGGGGTTCCTTCTGTGAAACTCAAAGAACATCAATCTGTGCCGCCGTCTCGTGGGCCCCGTCTCTGCAGCGTTGCTGTTGACCGAGGGGTTCCACCCACCAGCGCCGTGTCCATCTTTGCTGTTTCTCTTGTCGCCCACTGAGCGTAATGGGAGCATGATTAAAAAAAAAAAATCTTGTTTGTCTCGCTGTGCTGCTCCTGTGTCTTTGGAAGGGTGGAGAGGAGTCGGAGGTGTCTTTGGCACTTTTGAAGGGGGTTTTGGAGGTGGTGGGGAGCGGGCGTTGCTGACATGGGTCAGGAACGAGCTGATTGAGGAAGGATTGGTGAATTAGAGCATTTGGGATTTTTTTTTAATGTTTGAAAATAATTTTATTTTCCTTTTAATTCTAAATTTTTAATCTTTTTTTTTTTTCTGCATTTTTTAATTTCTGCGTGCCAGTCACTGTGCTGAGCTCTGCGTCGTGGGGGACAGGGGACAGCAGTGTCCCCCACGTCACCTCTGCCAGAGCCGGGGCTGGGCAGGCAGCTCCGAAATGGCGCAAGAGAGGAATCAATTCAGGTCCCTTGTGAAAAAGCCCCATCCAGGGGCAGCAGTTTGTCCTCCCTGGGTTGTCGGGTTCTTTTAACAGTTTGCAGTACAATGAATTGGCATTCAATCACATCCGAAGAGCTTCTAGTTGTCTTTCAAAATCCCCTCTGGCAGAGGTCTGTGGGTTCAGGTAGGCGCATCCTGATTGCCCTTTTTTCCTGAAACTCAAGGAACTGAGAGAAGAATGGGGCACCTGAACCAAGCTGGGGATCAGACCACAGTGACTGAAAATCCCTGGGGCCAGCAGTGGGTGGGACCCCAATGGAAGGGTTGGAGACGTCAGGAACTAACTGCCGGATTTAGCAAAGGTTTTATTATAGTTTAGGGAAAGCTGCAGGATCTGCAGCACCGCGAGAGCCGTTACAGAGAAAATGAAGCTGGAGAAATCCAGGTTTGAAGGCAAGGCTGACCTGTGGGTGCAAACTTTTCGGAGGAGGTGAGTGGGAAACACCAAAGGGTCAACGCAGCTGCACGTGATGGCTAAATCCTTGCTGTGGGGCATCCGGTCACTGCCTGCGGTGGAGGAGTCCAACATCCCCAGCTGATGCTGCTGGAAAGCTGATGCCTTCATTTGCCATTTAAATGTACCTTAAAAATAATAACCAAACACACACCAAACAGCTTCAGGAATAGAAACTCCTCCCTAAAACCAGTTGAGGACCTTTGAAACCGCAGCGGTGATTTTCTCATTTGCACAGGGGCAGCTGCTTTGCTTCGATGATACTGAAATGTTACAATATCCCCTACAAACACAAACGATCCCACCACCTTTAATGCTGAAATGAAGTGTAAAATGTCAGAACAGAGCACGGCAAGAACAAAACAGCCTCTGCCCACTGTAGATTATTAACACCTCCCCAAAATAGCTTCTTTTTCCTTGTTTTATTTTATTACACATAAACACCGGAGAATCCACATGAGCCAGCAAAAACGAGAAGCAGCATCAGGCATAGGAAGCTGCACTTTGCCTTTGCACTGGAACCACTGATTTGTGGCTGTTCTGAAATTACTCATTTGTTTAGTTTTAACTGGCCATGTTTGCCATTTGGGGTGATGTACGCGAGCAGTGGGAACGCGGCCGGGAAGGGGATGCTGTGGGGCTCCTCCTTCAGGTACCTCTTTGTGGAGCTGCCAAATGTAAGAAAACATGGAGAGAAAGCTTGTATAAGCACATTATCAATGGGCATCAGGGCTTGCGGCATCGTGGGAGGTAATTTCCCAGCGTGGTCCCGTTCCCCCTCCCCCCTTTTTACCTGTACCGCTCAGTGTTGATGAGCCAGTGCACAAAGTCCTTGGCCTTCATCTTGTCCAGGTAGCGGGTGAAGTCGCTGGTGAAGGTGCCTTCTGAGTGTCGCTTGATATTGGATGTGATGCTTCGGCCGCTTTGGGATTCGTTCGACTGCCATCTGATCAGGAGAGAAGGACGGGGGAAGAAAACGTGGTTTAATGCAGATTATGGCATCCTGGCTCCTCCCTGCAGGAGATGCCCCAAGCAGGGGCTGAGTCCTGTAAAGTATTTCACTGTGTGCAGCATCCTCCAGAAAAGCTATGAGAATACATAAAACTATTTTTCAGTTTCAGGGGGTCTTGCGAAGCCTGGGCAGGGTTGTTCCTGCCATCAAATATCTGCAGTATCCTGTCCTAGCCTATCTTATTTGCCCTCCATCTTGCTCAGGTGTGGTAGGTTCATCCCTCCACCCTGGTCCCTGCTTGCTGCTCTTGGGAAGCAGCGTGGTGCTGCCCTGGGGTTTAGCTCAACCTCCTCCAGCTCCAGGATGGAGAGCTGATGTTGGGGTCCCCCTTATCCCAAATTCACCCCAGCAGAAGGTCCCCAAAGTTTTTTCCTCCCACAGTGCCACCGGCGCGGAGCACGGTGATGGCCCCGGAGCCGGGAGACCCGGCAGCTTACCTGGACAGGTCATCCAAGTCCTGGGAGCTCATCTGCTGCCCTGCCTGGATCAGCACGGCCAACACCAGCCCGCAGAGGTACAGCCGCCGGACGGTCTGCATCAGCCTCACTGGAGAAGGGAGAAATGCCTGGGGTTGCCGTCGCCATTGCCCCAGCCCATGCGGAAGCCCCGGCAGCGTGGGACGGGCTGGATCCCACGGGGACACCCTCCTTCCCAGGGCCCTTGGCAGCGTTTGGATGGGCGCTCGTGAACATCGCGTCCTCTCGAGCACCAAACGGCATGTCCACCGTTGCTCAGGTGCAGGCACACAGCCACAAGAACAGGTTTGTACAATCTAAAGGTATCATTCACTGTGATGAACTTCATCACGAACCTCCCCCTTTCTATCTAGGAGCAATACTGCTATCTAGAGCTCATTACCAGAGTGCTAGGGAACTTTCCTGACGATTATTTGCTCAGAAAAGCAGCTTTCAGGAGAGTTGGTTATTGAGAGTTTGAAATTCTTATCTTTTCTGGGTGCCTTAGCAGCTCAGGGGGAGTAAAATGCTAACCCCTTCCCCTCATTTGCTGAAAATCAGGCTTCTGGTTGCCTCTCACCAAGGACTTTCCTTACTCTGGTTTAATTTCTTCCTAGCTTGGTAGTACAGAAGGGGGGAAAAGGCACTTACCTTCTGCAAAGACAACCGTTCCCTGAAAAGCAAGATCCTATTCTCCTCCTTCAAGCTGGTTGTGGCTAAACTCTGCTCCTTACCGGTGCTTTTAAGCTTGTTAGCAGGATGCTAAAAGCTGACAGGTAGGTCATCAGTACTCCTGTTCGCAGTTGGGTGGGTCATCATGAATCATTACAGGATTTTTTAAGTGGTGCTGTTGCAAAAAATATACTTGTTGCTGTATTTTTCAGCTTATGCCTTCAGTGAGGAGATATTTGTTGTTGTTGTTGTTGCTATTCCTCTCATCTTTTCTTTTTTTTTCCACTTCTTGGACCAAACGAGTGACCTATCTGTTTCCTCCTTTCAGGTGAGATGGCCCTTTATTGCCACAGTGCATCTTGCATGGAGAAGTGTTTTCTCTGCCTGCATGCCCTTTCAAACACATTTAGTTTGAGTTAAAAACATTAAGAAAAAAGCAAGAGCAAAAATGTAAAAGAAGCATTTGAGTATCCAAGCACTTGCTGCTGCTTTCTGCAGTGTAAAATTCAGGTGACAGCTCATCAGCTGGACAGACGCTGCTTTCGATACAAGCCTGGTTTTGTCCCCCAAGGCCAGATCTGACACTAGGGCCATTCACCATCATTTCTTCACTTTAGGGAGGATGGGTGGCACTGCGAGCGGCCATGGATCTGGGTCAGCGTTTTTCCCCGTGGGACATACAGGCTCAGCTCAGGAGCTGGAGGAACATCTGGAGCTCATCAGGCCAAGGACAATAGTTTTGCAGGGGTGTCTCCTGGGAACTGGGGTCATTTATTTAAATCCCTAAGTCCAGCACAGGAAAAAAGGCTTGAGAAGAGCAAAACTAAGGGTAGCCCTAAAGAACCAGACACAGCCCCGGAGGAGAGAGTGCTGACAGCTCTGGGTGTACATGGAGCACAGCCCTCAGCTCCCTGAAGATGATGGGAGGTCACATGAGCTTTTGAGGGCTGCTGCTTGGAAGGATTGAAGGCAGACTTATTTTGGGAGAATTTTGAGACATTTGGGGAACTCTTGGCTAAGAAGTCTCTACGGTTCAGTGCTCAGGAGGACAAATGTACCCCTTTCTCTTGTGCGTGCTGAATGGGCAGAGAAAAGCAAAGCTTAGGAAGCTGGACCATGTTTCTCCCTCACCCAACACCAGCCGCCAGAAGAGACGAGGGCTCGAAGTCCCGATTTATCTGCCCCTTACTGTCCTCTCCTCCTGGGACCTTTCTTCTCATGGTTGGGTAATTATTATTATTCTACCAAAGAGATTTATATAATTATTGTCACTGTCAAAATATGGCTGGTGTTCAGGGGACACTCATCTTGAAAAGCCTTTTAATTAGGGCCAGCAATGGCCTTATGAGAAAGCCTGACATCAGAGGGGGAAGGTAGGAGATTAATTAGCTCAACCTTTGGAGGAGAGGTCCAGCTCTCCTACCCATCACTTCGATGGGATATTTATTAGTGCCACTAAATTAGCTCACGATGGCACTGTTTGTGATGTCTCCCTGGCCAGGAAGGCACAGAAGCTATCTGCAGTGATGGGGGGCAAAGCAGAAGAAAAATCCAGCTCAGCCAGCACAGTGCATGTCGTGTTGCTTCTTAGTTTTCTTAATTGTGGCTCCAAGTGTGAGAGTGGGTTAGAGAAATGTCCTACAGGACACTTTCTCCACTGTCCATGGGTGTTTTTCACTGGCCTGTTGGGTCGTGATCCCTTTCCAAATGTCCTCTGTGGTCTTCCCCTTTCCACGTGAGTTAGGTTGCTGGTGGCTCTCCCATGCTGGGGGGTAGTAGTGTGGGGGCATGGACCTGTGTTTTAAGATGCACGTGCAGATATGGATTATCTGGATTTTGTCCCATTTTAGGACTTGGAGAGGATTTTATGGACAGCAGGTGGCAGCCTTCCACTGCCCATCCTTCCTCTGCCTGCCCTTCGGCTGCTTCGCAGCCTCCTCCTCCTCATTGCTTGGCAGCTCCCAAAACACCCTGCCTCTCCTTGCAAGGACCGAAGTGGTGTGATGTCCCTCTCTTCGGGGATGGAAGATCCCAGGCTGGGGATGCTGTCGGTGGTGGCACAGTGATGCCAGAGGGGCTGGTTTTGGTTCAAATCCCTGCTTTCTGCTGCGTGCATCTTTGGACAAGCACCTTTGAAGATGCACAAGCATCCTGTGCTGATGGAGCATGGACCAACGAAGGCAATAAGGGAAAACTCCTGGCCTGTACTTAATATCCACCAACCCTTAGATAAACTCATCCACAACCCATGAAACCTCTGCTGAAGGGCATTTTCCCGTTAGGTCACATCAGGACCAGCTGTGCAGCCGACGTGCCCACCTCCACCAGCTTTGGTCTCTTGCAAGCATTGGGAGAAGCAGGAGAAGCCAGGCTGCTCTGACAGGTGTGGTGTGACATGTCCTTGCTGGGCTGTCCAACATCAGGCTGGAAACAAGAGTCGTTTATGCTTAAGCCTGCTCTTAATTACAACAGGGACCTGCCGGGCCTCATGCTGTCAGCAGCGAGCTCCTCCTTTGGCGCTCAGTTTCCCTGCGTGGTGCAGTAGGGTCGGACTGGCATGCCTTGACGCCTCGATGCCTCCATGCAACAGCCTGAAGGCGATTGTGAAGGCACCTTAGATGCAACAAACTGCTCCAATACTGCTGTCCAAACCAAGGGATGGTTCACTTGGGAGGGATTTACTGCGAGCAAGGAGGAGCAAATGCTTTGACTTCACCTTCTTGCACCCTCTGCAAAGAGACCTTCGTTTCTTACAGGGGTGCATTCTGGGTTCAACCCAGCGCAAAAGAGCCAGGGATGGAAAAAACCCTTCCTCTGTGTCCCCGTACTGTCGCAGTTCAGAGCCCAGTGCCCCACGAATCAGCACTCTCTGCTCTTGTTTCCCCCACAGCTGAAGGTGCTTGTGGCCTCCTCCCTGCCCACCACAACTAGAGGCAATTTTATACCCGTGCGGCAGCGCGTGCTGCCTCTCGCTGGCAGTTGCTACTGCCAAGTCATAACTGGGCAAAGAAAGACCTCCTCGGGTCAGTGGTTTAACCTGAAGCACCTCCTTCGGGGTGACACTGAGTGCACGGTTTCAGTTTCAGCATCTTTTGGGCTTTTTTTCCTGTGTTTTGCTTTACAGGTGTTCTCAAGGAGCAAACGGAGGGTGGTTAAAGAAAGATATTCTGGGTTCTCAGAGAGGTATTTTGGCAGCTCTGAAGGGACGTGGATTATTTTCCTGCTTCTTTTTCCCTTTGTGCATGTTTCTTGGGGCAGAAAACAGTATCTGCCTTTGATGCTGCAAAGTCGAGGGCCTGCAGCCTCCTGGCTTGTGCCCATGGCCAACCTTTGCTGCCAGGGAGGTAGAGTGTGGTGGGATGCAGAGATGGTGCTGAGCTACGTGGCAGGCTGACAAGGTCATTTGGAGCCATAAGATCTTAAGAACAGGGATCAATGCCATGTAGCCCTTCCTGACATGAAGCCTAGGCTGTATCTACCCCGTGGTGGATCCCCATTTTTGATGAACCTATCACTTTTCTCCCTTTGCTGTTAACAGAGCAGAAGGAAACTTGGTGAGATCCCTCCTGCCCCCAGTTGCCATTGCTCTCCTGTCCCCGAGCACCTTTCATGAGCACTAAATGTCCACAAGACACGGACGGCAAGGAAAGTCATTGGGTGCCAGGACCAAGGACTCACTTCCCACACAGGAAACTTGAATGTGAGCCTGGAGAAGTGCAACAGGCTTTGTCAGTGGATGGCTGGATGAGAAACCAGCTTGCACCTGGGTTGGACTGGGAGACGGGTGAGCTAATGGGGAATTGCAGGCAAAATGCTTTGGGGCCAAGCATCTGGACACGTAGCATGTGTCCAGCTGTGGTGACACTGCTGCAAGAGTGTCCCTGCTCCTTTTCATCAGTGGGAGCTGCTGGCTGTTGGAGGTCACGTGAAGGTCAGATCAGAGGCTCTGTCCTTGCTCCTACATTAACTAGTACATTTTGCCTCCTTTGGCTAAAACCCCAGCAATCGGCCTCAGCAGTGGAGCAGGTTGCAGGCGCCTGGCTGAGCCCTCGCTGCCTGCAAAGCCTGGTGCTCCGTCCCTCCATGGTCTTCCACTCTGCAAGCTTACCATCCCTCCTGCTCCCTGGTCCTCCTCAGCTGTCCCTTGCTCCCTGTGCTCTCTCGGCATGATGCTCTGCAGTGAAAGGTGGGGGCTTCCTTTTTGCTTTTGGAGGAGAGCGGCTGCTGTGAGCTGTCCCAGGCACTGTTCTGTGGTTTGGAGGAAGCTGTGGGTGTGCTGAGCTGGCTCCGTCCTCCAGGGCACCCTGGCCCTGCGCCAAGCGATTGGTGGTTTGTGCTGGGACCCTGCGGGAGCTGAACTGGGGCAGCTCTGGGCGAGCGAAGCTGTGAGCGTGTGGGGAGCTCCTGGGGC